GAGGCACAGCTCAGCCCCCTGGGAAGCAGTGCGCAGGCTTTACTCTTCCGTTCAGATGCTCTGGAAGCCCCACACGAAAAGACTGGACATCGGTCTGCAGGGGAGCATGGAGGTGAGGCACGACACCGAGATGCAGGGATGAGGGGTGGCTAGCACAGGTTCCCCAGTGCCTCCCAGGCTGAACTGTTGAAGGAGAAAGGCAGATACATAAAAAAGGTACATAAATAGGAGCAGGCACATTGGGGAAACGTGATCCATGCTCTCATGTGGTACTGGGTAGCTGTAAATCAAGGATGGATTTCCAAAGCAGAGCGGGCATGCAGGATTTTTCTGAAGAGAATTACTGAAAGATTTCAATCATGGGCATGGAATGACCTAACACAAACTCCAGAAAAATCCCTGTGGTGGCAATATGGGGACAGGCAGAAGGACCAATGCTCATCCCCAAGGGGAATAAGAGAAGCAGCCGAGGTTGAAGTGGCAGTGGAGGGGATGCCATGCTCCCAGTGTCACGGCCACACGTCCATCTACAGTTGAAAGGCCATAATGTCTGAGGACTGCCTAAAATGGGACACCAGAGAAAATAGTAATGTGTAAAAACTGTGCCTGAAAGATGTTTTAATCTTTAAATCTCAATGAAGGCTATATTGGCATAAATAATGCCCAATCAAAATGGTAGAATGTGACGTAAGACAACAGGAACAATGATCGTTATACTTAACAACTATGAGATCCTTGCTAAGTTTAACAAGGGACATCCAGTGAAGCAGGGGGTAGTGTGAAAATCCAGCACAAGGAAGGAAAAAGTTATCACAGACAATTCAGGAAGCTAGGGTTTGAAGTTGTGGAAAATAGAAGAATACAAGGAGTTTGCACTTGCTGGCATTCTAGGTAATAGGGTACCCTAAGTGTGTCTGCATGAGTAAGGGAAAACCCTACAGAGGAGAAGGAAACTGGGGGAAAGGCCTAATGGGTGTGCGTGCTCAGTGAAGGAAAGCCCTGGGGCTCAGAATCGGGTCTTCAAAAAGCCCAACATTCCTGCCTCTGTACACCAGTTCTTAATTTACCTAAGGTCAGCTAAGTGAATCATCAGTCCTTCAGAGAGGAAAGCTCAAAAAGCCAAAGTTCTACATTCTTTTCCAGGATACTCATAGTCCATCTCCCAAGCAGGCTGACAGCACCTCCATCCTTCCCACCTAACAGGGTACTGTGGAGATAGTCTGTAGGATAATGGGTGCTTTGGAGAGTGCTACACACCACAGGGACATCTTCATCATTCCTAACCATGGGATCTATGTCCAGTGGCACAACAGGCAAAGGTGTGCAAAGTGAATGAGTCTGTAAGCCCCACACCTGGATTACAGTACCTGGATTCCACAGGTCTTGGTGGGTTTCTGGCTGTATCCCTTGGGTAAGTCACCCTTCTGTGACTTCAACTTTCAGCCTGTAAAATGGCATTCATCATGCCTAGCTTGGAGGGGGTTGAGACATAATGAGATAAAACAGATGAGAATAGCTGAGTTCCTGGCCGTAAATGTTCTTTTAAACATCAGCTGCTTGTTTTTTGTACTCTCTCTCAAGACTGAGTTATGTCAGCTGGATCTAGACTGAGACAACTGCTACACACACCTGTCCTTTTAACCCACGACCTTCCTCTTCAAACCATATCCCATGGTCTGTGGCTCAGGTTCACCTCTCTCTTGAACCACTTCATTGTCCACCTCTGGCTTTCCTCTGCTTCCGTGACACACACACTAGCTCAGAAATATGCACACCTTTACACACTGGCCAGCTGTCTTCCCCTTGGTAGTTATGTTGCCAACTGACAGACACGTGGTTGTTCTTGATGCCTGAAGCCTCGCTTTGAGTTAATATTACTAATAACCGACAGTTCATTTCCTCTCCGATTTGACAACTCAAGCAAGATCTAAAGTGCACCATGAGTTATTTCCAAAAATGCTTTTCCCTCTTGGCTAGAGATCTTAAGAGATTATCCAAGTCAGCCCAGGTTTGACATCAGAGCTAATTTCTTCTTCAAATGTGTGTAACTGCCTCAATCATTTCATCAGTCTTTCCAAAGTTCCAGGTGGGTGTCACCTGTTCCTGCTGATGCACAGGTATGTCCTCTCTCCCAGGTAGAGGACTCCTCTTCCACTGACATTTTTACCATGGATCTGCATCTCTGGCTTGGAACGCAACATTATGTCATTGTCCCTCCTCCACAGCAAGCCCAAACTGTAGGCTGTTTTGCTCTTATGTCAGGACCTACCACAGTACCTAACCCAAAGCAATTCACTAGGCATATTTTTAACATCAAAAACTTTCCCTATGACTTCTACAATTTTAAAGAAGCCTGAAATAGTCTGATGAGGCAAAGCTCACATGGTTCTCTGAGGGTTCTAAAACCACAACACTCAACAGGAAGTAGGGGCAAGGGCCTTGTGATTTCATCAGCTTGTCCACACAAGCTTGTCTCTCAAGCAGATCAGTCCGAAGCCTCAGGCCAGGACTCCAGATGTTCCACCAGACTTCTATGAATCTTACATGCAGCCTTTACCTTAGTAACCCTGTTCTGAAAAGATTCTAGTTCATCAAGGCCATCCTTAGGTGTGGGAGATCAGAAGGATACAGAGCACAGCTTGAGAAGACACCTAAGCATTTAGTGGGGAGAGATGCCGCCTGGGGCATGAATACTAGTCTGTGGTCAAATGTGGATACACAAACACCATGGGTTGGATTTCCCTTGCCCCTTAAATGCTTAAACTGTTGGGTAACCAAGTTAGAGTTTACTGTTCTTCTTCTCCTGCTCATTTAATGCACTGAAATGAGAAAATCCACATCTTCCTTGCCTGAACAAGAAAAGAGCATCTGCTGTGGTCTGAATCTTAGTGCATTCTTCAAACTCTCATACTGAAACCTAAACCACAGTGTGGTGTTGTAGAGGCGAAGTCTTCAGGCAGTGATCAGGTCACCAGGATGGAGGCCTCAAGAACAGTTTTATGAAAGACTTCGAGAGAGCTTGTTCTGCCTTCCACCATGTGAAGATGCCACAATGAAGTGCCACCTATGAGGCAGAGAAGTCACCAGACACCAAATACACTGGTACCTTGATCTTGAATCCCCCAGTGTCCAGAACTGAGAGCAATGAATTTGCTGCTTAAAAACAACCCAAACTACTGTTCTGTTATAGCAAGAACCTTTAACTACTGTGTATTTTCCTTTTCCCTTACCAGAAGTCAGAGGGGGATGTCGCATCTCCAGAGATGCCCACAGACTTTCCTTTCCTGCAGCCACTCTGGCCTCATGCATCAGTGAAGAAACCAGACCTTCCCTGAATTTGTCACACAGGCAGAGCTTTTCGGGGGTTGGGGGAAGAGACATTAATAACACATATTAGGAATGCATTTCTCTTGAATGCAAATGGGAGATAAAGGTGTAGTCATAAACGTATAAACTAATTTCAACACTTTACAGTTATTGTGTATGTGTGCACGTGTGAGAGAGACAGACCACACACCCAGCTCTGGCACCCAGGCACCATTTAGCCACTGGTTACCAAAGGAGGAGCTCCCCAGCTGCTCAGGCCAGCACACTGGGTTCTCACTGCAGGGTGAACAGGAGGCTGACAGAGGATGAAGAGCTGCATTCCCGGAGGAAGGAACACCCATTACCTTGAGAATACTCCAGGACAGGGGTATGAGTTAGAGACTAGGAATGTGAGCAGGCTCGTCGGCTCTGGGGATCTCCACTCATCAGGCGATACACAGAAATCTGAGCCAGGTTGCTTGCCACACCGCAAGCTTCAAATGAGTCAAGATACCTTCGAAACGGGGACTTACAGAACCCAAGCTTGTCAGCTAAGGGTCAGCTGCTTTTTAAGGATTTAATGAGGACCTTCCCTCCTTCAGCATCTCTCTGATTGTTCTCCTGAGAACCAGGAGGGAGGTTCTGAACACCCTGGGTCACAAACCTCACCTGAGTTAGATGAGGTTAGTGTTGCAGTCTGCATAGCCCAGCGGCCTTTCAGAAAACTCCTCAAAATAGCAATTCATCCCAGCTGACAGAAGGGATAAACCCAGGGTTCCCTGGTTGTAGTATGTAGCATCCTCTATTTTCTGTTCTGGCATGTGTCAAAAGTTGTGTGCAAGTAACTCGTCCCTTTTTTCTGCCCGACACTAGTACATCTTCTAACCACGTTAAACACAATCTGTCTTTGAAATTAGAAAAGTTATGCATCTGATGGCTTCATACTTTTTGGTGATCTAATCAGCAAAACACAGCAAACCACAGTGCCAGCCCCCACCCCCACCCCAAATTTTTGGTGCAGTGATTTTATCCAGGTGTGGATAATCCAGGGTTCCACTTATATCCAGTCCTGTATATCGCATGTGGGTCACAGTGCAAGTTTCAGGACACCATACACTCTCAGGGGAATGAGAAGTGAGCTGGGGTAAAGAAATGAGAAAAACACCTCCCATTATAAGAAAAAAAATTGTGATATCCTAGAGTTCAGGAAAGATTTGGAAGAAATACACTGTCCATTCAGAATCTTCTTAGATGAATTATCTTATGAATCATCCTAAAACTTTTATGCTTAAAGAATGTTAACTCTTTGGTTTATGTTTAGCAAAAAAAAAAAAATTATAACAACCACAGACCAAAGCAAGCTATCAAATGAGTCAAGCTACCTTTAAAATAGGGGAAAAATGTCTTACAAATCTCAAGAACTCGAAGATGTTTTTATTTATTTAAAATTCCAATAGAATGAATGTTTTATCTAAATACTTTATCACACAACTGAAACATTGAATTACTTTTCAGAAATAGTTAAATACATCAATCTATTACAAATTCTAATATAAAGAGTACAAAATGTTATAAATTGTATTTTTATAAAAGAAATACAAATTCTATGGTCTTTTGCATTTTACTGTTTCAAAGTATATATTAGCAAAGTTGATAAAGAGTGGACATTTTTCTTGCAGGGAGACCAGGGTGGTCACTCCACTCAGGCATGTCCTAGGGCTCTGGCGTTTGCATGAACCATGGCAAACAAGGACCTGGTCATTGCTGGAAGTCCTCACCTGTGGTTGTGGTTGTTGCTGTTGTTGCTGCTGTCTGCTTAGTGAATAAAATGTTCTGCAATTAGAAGTCACCAAAGTTAAAAGCAGTAAAACAACAAATGTTACTTCAGACATTGTGAAAGTAGAGTCAAGCTTACGAACATAGAATTTCCTTCTTCTGTCTACAACAGGGTTTGAACCTTGTGTTCAGGATAGGTGGTCTTGTTCTAAAGAAGGAGTGCAAGGAGAGTCTCTGGCCACGGGAGTCCAGCAGGTGCTGTCTTCCATGCAACAGGAGGACTGCACCACTTTCTGTGATCTGGAAGACACCCACATTGCCCCATAAACTACACCTGCTCTCCTGGTTGAAAGCATGGGAAGCAACCAGGGCCTCCACCAAATGAGGTGGAACTTGCCCCCCTGCTGCACCCAGCTCTACATGCTAAGGGAGTGAGGCACTGTGAGGCCTGTGAGTGCCAGGGCCTTATAGAGATCCTGGAGCCGTTCCTAGCCATGGTACATGGCAGCCAAGTCAGAAGATGCACCCTGACAGACTGTCAGAAAGTCCACATTCCTTTATCTTACAGAGTGACTGCATGTAGCTCCCAGTTGGATTTCCTTGTTTTCAGAAAACCAGTGTCTCTTCTTGATTTAAAAAAATAAATAAATAATGGGGAAACCTCTTAAAACATTTGATACTTTCCGAACCAAGAAGGCAAAATCCACATGGCTTGAAATTACACAGGTGCAACACTTCAGTCTAAGATTGCAGTGAGATTTTTGGGAGCCAGGCAAAAATGTGTACAGGTACGGGGTGCGGGGGGGGCGGGGTGATTTCCCAGAGAAGACAATGAACATCTGCTATTTTAGAGACTTCAAATGTTCATTCTTCAAATTAAGGGCGGCAGTAAATAACCTGAAAGATTTTAAGAAGCTCATTATTTGTGTGTTACTTAAATTAAAAAATAAGAGATATGAGTGGGGAGGGAGAGAGGGTGACAGTGAGGAGAAGGCAAGGGGCCAAGCTAGACCAGGCAGAAGCCAAGCTAGGATACAGCAAGAGTGCAAGGTAAAGGGCAGGGGAGACACAAGGAGCACTGCAGTGTAGACAACCAAACCCTTTATTGTCTAAATTACATTAGACGCAACACTGTAAAAATCCTGTTAGGAAACAAGGAGACAGCAGGTTGGTAGAGGTAGTAGAAAGTCTGTAACAGTCAGAAGGCGACTTACAGAAGTGTATCATGCAGAAATCATTTGAAAAAAAAAAGCGAATCAAAACATATTGGCTAAATAAATAAGAAAACACAAATCATATTAAATACTATGGTTGAACTGACACAAACAAATTAACAAACCAATACAATACTGATGCTCAGTGGAAGAAAGGAGCCACCCATCCAGTCCAGCGCGCAGCAGGGCTCAAAGTCGCAATCGCCAGCCCCTCGTAGCTGTGCACCTCTGAAAACCTCGTTTTTTGCATTCTGAGAGGCAGGCACATCACCACGTAAGCCGGTGGTCCCTCACGGCTGCTCTCCTGGAAGCCAATGCATACGGCATTCTGTGGCTGCAGCCCAGCACGCGCCTTTCTCCCCACCAGACCGACTGGGAAGGAGATTTGAGGAAGAAAAGACACTTCCAGCTCTAAATGCCAATTGCACTTTTCCGTGCGGCTTCTGAAACAGTAAAAATGTAGACGACACCTTTGTGTCACTTTGGGTACAGGATTTTCTTTTAATAACTAAAACACAGAAAAACAAGACAGGACTGAGTCACTAGTCCCTTCACATTCCTAACTGTCACCGTTTACTTTCAGCAAAGAAAACAAAAGCCAGAAAATGCAGAAATGATCACCTTGGGAAAAATATCAAAATGATCAAACATAAATCAACAGAAGGGTGTTCCAATTTCTTAGGTGGACAGAGGAATGTGTCTCTATAGTTTTGCTCAAATAACCTCACAGAACAATCCATGACAGTTGCTTAACAGTATCTGTGCAGACATCCCAAGCACACCAACACAATAGATCATTCTCATATATATATCCGGTGTAAGAATATCAGGAAAAATAAGTAAAAAAAAACTATATATATATATAT